TTTTTATAATTTCATAAGTATTTTTAAATTAAAAGTTTTTTCCTAATTCATATTTTAATTTCTTATACTTCAAAATGACAACTTATTATTTAAATTAATTCATTTCTTATGTTTTAATTTTTAATCTTTTGATGAAAAAAATATTTTAGTTTCATAATTTTTTAATTATTTTTTTAGCAAAATATTTTTTATTTATACATAATTCTTAAATATAATAATTGTACAATAAAATTTTCTATTTTGAGAGGGATACATAATCCCTCACAGATTGTGACGGAATTTGTGACGAAATATTTAGAGAGGAATCAAAATCCGTCACTAAATCCGTCGCAATTTTCTTTTTTATTAGTGACCCTGTTTGTGACGGAATTGGTAGAGACGGAAAATTTTCCGTCACAAAATCCGTCACAAACTCTAAAAATAAGTAGTCCGTCACAAAAATAAAATTTTCGTCACAAAAGTCGTCACTATTAGTGACGACATTTTATCCGTCACAAATTTTCGTCACAAATTTTAATTTTTTTAGTAGTGATAAGTGATATGTGTTAACTGTCTTACTCATCCCACACCATGCTAGGGTCACGCCCTCCCTGTAGCATCACTTACCCAGGGGTCATGCCATCCCTAGTCATTGATGTGAGGAATCACAATCATAATCATATTCACATCCATACAACATCTCATCTCATAGCTCAAATCCATACACACATCAAATAAGTCCAAAATAATGGGTTTCATACACATCAAACAATTCACATCTAACTCATCAATTTTTATCAAATAATATAACAATAACATTCATAAATTAATATAATACTCAATGAAATTACCAATTTAATATAATTTCAACATAAACAGTAAAACCCCCAATTGGTCCAAAACCTAGCTCACAGACACTTTTCTACAATTTCGTTCTCTCTTCCAGATCATCATTCTTACAAATTAAATATATATTTCTAATCCTCAACACATACATAATCTAATCATTAATTCCTCAAACAAAAATAATCTAATTTTTTCAAAACCTAACTTACAGGCACTTTTCTATAATTTAGTTCTCTCTCCCAGAGCATCATTTTTACAAATTAATCATATATTCATAGTCCTAAATATATACAGAATCATATAAGACAAATAATTCTCCAAACAGAAATAATTATAAAATTACTCATAATCCTACGGGCTCTTCCTCTACCCAATTCCCTCATGTAACTCTACATATAAATAATCCTCTTTTCCCCTGTACCTGGATCTGTAGAAGTTGAATCTACACAAGATCTGGTTGGTCTCCCTCGCTGGGTTTCCCTCGGAATCAATTATTTATAAATATAATCGCGCACAGCGCAGTCAGGTCGCGCCTGGCCCAACACCAACCCAAGTGTTCTAAGCTCTCCCACGCCTGGCACGCTCAACCCGCGCCCGGCCTGATCTCAATCAGAGAGTTTCAAAACTCTCATCCAAGGAAACACATCCAGCCACATGCAAACACAAAACACAATGCATAGGCTCTATACAACTCAAAATAAACTTAAATCTCACATTCATCCAACCTATGCATCAAAATCCTCCTTTTTCTCAAAATCTCAAAAATAAGATTTTCTTCAATCCATCTATGGATTCTCAACATTCATGCATCAATTGAGTTTCTAGACTCCCATACAACCTAAACAACAAACAGTCTAGCTTCCCTTACCTGAAGATTGGCTCAGATAGCCAAAAACTGACAAGAAGTAGAATTCCCCTTCGTAGCTCAACCCGGAACTTCAATCTACCCAAAGCAAGCTTTCTAATCTGAATTTCAAGAAATGACAGAAGGCATTAGTGGTCTAGAGGAGAAAAGGATTCATACAGAGAAATTTGAGAGAGAAAGGAGCTCACAGACCTAGAGACCTTCTCTCTAAAACTTCTCTCTAGAAACCTCTAATTCTCCTCACGGCCCACACCCCTATTTGTAGACTTTACGGATTGGCCAGAACGGCCTGTACCGATACCGGAATAGCCCGTTCTAAACTGCTTCGTCAAGTAACTAGAAGAGCTCTCGGGAAATATCATTCCTCGCACCTGGAACTCAACTCATTTGAAGATGTATTTTAGTTAAGACATGCTTGTAAACAAAGGAATTTATCATCAATGTATATGCATGGTGCACTCTTTTCCTTGATCGGTCTTTTTCCCCTTATAAAAAAGTGAAAAGGGGTTTTGGCCGATAAGGTTTTTAACGAGGCACCCATTAATGAAATGCAATTTTACTCATTACTCGTCTTAAATCAATTGTCCAAAAAAGGCTTCCCTCCCGAGTGACCCCACTCGGCCAAGGATGTGCCTTCAACTATCAACAAAAAAGACTTCCCTCCCGAGTGACCCCACTCGGCCAAGGATG